CTGCAGACGCTGGCGCAGTTCCCCGAGACGCTGCTGGGCGACCCGCGCAAGCGCGGCCGCTACCTCGACCCGCTCCGCAACGAGGACTTCTTCGACCGCAACCGGCCCAGCTTCGACGCCATCCTCTACTACTACCAGTCGGGCGGGCGCATCCGGCGACCCGTCAACGTCCCCATCGACATCTTCTCTGAGGAGATCCGCTTCTACCAGCTTGGGGAGGTGGCCATGGAGAAGTTTCGGGAGGATGAGGGCTTCATTCGGGAGGAGCAAAGGCCACTCCCCGACAAGGAGTTTCAGCGGCAAGTGTGGCTCCTCTTCGAGTACCCGGAGAGCTCTGGGCCGGCCCGAGGCATCGCCATCGTCTCCGTCCTGGTCATCCTCATCTCTATTGTCATCTTCTGTCTAGAAACCTTGCCTGAGTTCAGAGACGACCATGACTTTGAGGGAACCGGAGGGACCTTTGGGACAGATGGTGGCCCCTTTCCAACCAATGTCCTCACCAATTCCTCCTCCACATCTGCTTCCATGGTGTCATCCTTCACCGACCCGTTCTTTGTGGTGGAGACTTTGTGCATCATCTGGTTTTCCTTTGAGCTGCTCGTCCGCTTCTTCACCTGCCCCAGCAAGGCCACCTTCTCCAAGAACATCATGAACATCATTGACATTGTGGCCATCATCCCCTACTTCATCACACTGGGCACCGAGCTGGCTGAGAGGCAAGGGAATGGCCAGCAAGCCATGTCCTTAGCCATCCTCCGGGTGATCCGCCTGGTGCGGGTCTTCCGCATCTTCAAGCTCTCGCGGCACTCCAAGGGGCTGCAGATCCTGGGGCAGACCCTCAAGGCCAGCATGCGGGAGCTGGGCCTGCTCATCTTCTTCCTCTTCATCGGCGTCATCCTCTTCTCCAGCGCTGTCTACTTTGCCGAAGCCGACGACCCCAGCTCGGGCTTCAGTAGCATCCCCGATGCCTTCTGGTGGGCCGTGGTGACCATGACCACGGTGGGCTACGGGGACATGCACCCCATCACCATCGGCGGCAAGATCGTGGGCTCGCTCTGCGCCATCGCGGGCGTGCTCACCATCGCCCTGCCCGTGCCCGTCATCGTGTCCAACTTCAACTACTTCTACCACCGCGAGACCGAGGGCGAGGAGCAGGCCCAGTACATGCACGTCGGCAGCTGCCAGCACCTCTCGTCCAGCGAGGAGATGAGGAAGGCCCGGAGCAACTCCACCCTGAGCAAGTCGGAGTACCTGGCCATGGAGGAAGGGGGGGTCAACCACAGTGCATTCAAGCAGGCTGCCTTTAAGACGGGCAACTGCACGGCCACAAACAATCCCAACTGCGCGAACATCAAAAAGATCTTTACGGATGTTTAAGAGCAGAGTGAAGCCCCGGAGCAGACGCCCGAGGCTGCAAACCCACGACCATGACAACAACAACAACAAATACTGATGCAAAATGACTGTGTTCTCGGTGTTGTGTGGACCATGCACCATCGTCGGTCTGTGTGTGCCCTTGGTTTTATACGTCAATTTTTATTTTTATTATTTTTTTAGATTGTTCCTTTCTTAAAAAAAAGAAAAAAGAAAAAAAAGGATTTAAAAAGCTCGTGAAGAAAAGAGGATACGTAAAGGGAACAGCGAGGGAGCTGGTGGCAAAAACCCGCCGCGCGTTGGAACCAGGTGTTTGCTCCGCAATGTGGGTTTTTGCTCGGGTGTCCTCGGGGTTGGGGACATCTTGCTTTGCTTCTGCTTCCCTTCCCCTCCCTCCCGCCCCGTCCCTTCCCTGCCGGCAGCGCGTGGCTCTTTTCCCTGAGCTCACTTGTTGGATTAGGGAGCGCATGCTGGGTGGGGAGCCCAGCAAAACATGTCGCAGCGGCGCTGCCGGGGGGCGGGAGGAGGGAACCCCCGGGTGATTTTGCAAAGAGGCCGCTGCCGCCGCGGTAGCAGCACCGCGTGGCGCCGCGCCGGCACAGGAGCGGCCCCGCGGCAGCATCCGCATCATGAAGGAAATGTCATCTGGCCGCAGACCGAGGGTGATGGGGTCTGGTTTAAAGAGCAAAAGGAAAAAAAAACAAATCCTCGTTTCCTATCCTTAATTCCCTCCGCCTGCAGCCCCGGGGAGTTGTTGAATCCGTTGGGGAATTGCTGTCGGGCCGGGGGCCGCAGGAGGCGGTAGCCGGGGTTGCTGCGTGGTGGTGGCGAGTGCTCCGTGCGCACGGAGATCGGAGCATCCTTGCCCAAAGCGCAGAGCATCCGACGGCGCCTGGCAGCGGAAGAGGCCGATGAGGATCGGAGGGATGCAGTTGCCGTGGTGACGCCGGTTTCCTGGGAAACCCCCCCCCTCCATCCCCCAGGTTGTCATGGCATCCTGCTTCCCATCCCCGCTGCCGCTGGCCCTTTCAGACACTTCCCGCTCCCAGCGGACGGGCTCCACCACTCCGGCTGCCGGCACGAGGACGCTCCGGCCGCTGGCTCCCGCGGCACCAGATCCCTGGTCTCCATGTGCCAGGCATCCCAGCTCGCATCCACCAAAACCTCCCGCCGAGCCCACACATGTGCCAGCGCCGAGCCGGGAATTGCCCCCAGCGCCCCCAGCCTCTGGAAAGCAGCCGGAAAACTTCAAGTCTGTAAAGAGCAGGAGCGCAAAGTGTCCCAAATCCCACAGTGGGCAGGTGGGCGGATGGTGCCCGCTCCATCCTTCCTCGTGCGCTGGTGACCTCCGGACGTCTGCCAGGAGCAGGGAGCTTCCCACTGGGCACTTGCCACCTGCTAAGGTACCGCTGGGGGTTTTTGGGGGGAACATGGTGCTTTGCACAGTTTTGCACCTGGATGCGCTAAAGCTGCACGAGCCCCTGCAGCTCCTCTGCCCCCTTTGCTTTTCCCATTGTGAACCCAGGATTCCCGGGATGCTGACGGTATTCGACAGCTTTAGTGGCGCTGCTGCCGTTCACACCAGCAGCAGAGATCCGATCGTATCAGCTGGATCAGGTAGAGGCGCTGGTGCTTTGCCCTCGCCGGAGCTCCCGGGCAGCCTTTTCCAGCGATCTGGGAGGCTTTTTCCCACCAGGTTCCCGGCCTTTGCATCCCTGCTAAGGATCCTTCTCCAAGGCCTGTTGAGGTTTAGCAGCTGGAGAGACCCTCTCCCCCTCCAGAGGATTTACGGAGGTGCAGCCGTATGATTTTCCTGGTGATGGCTCCTGGGCCATGTGGCCACAGAGGCAACAGGTCCCATGGACGGACGGACAGGCAGCCGCCCCGAGGCAGGGTGAGGGGCTCAGCAGGGGCCAAAGCGCTGGGAACGGCAGCGGGAGCCAGAAACAGGGAGCGTGGACAGGGACGTCGGCTCCGCCGGGCACGTCGGGTTTACCCCGGGGGTTTGGGAACGTCGGCTTAACCGCGTAGTTTGGAGCCCTCTTCCTGCCGAGCCGTTAAAATCTGTCTCTGGGAGAGCACGCGGCGCCTCTGAGCCCGACCTGCTGCACACAAGGATTTTCTCCCTGTTTTTTCCCTTTTTTTTTTTTTAGCAGAACATCTCTGAGTGTCTTGGGAAATGAAAACCCGGCACATAGGATTTCTCCGTGGGCTGCCCGATCCCATCGGACTGGGCGGTGCAGCCGGCTTAAAGAGAGGCTGCTGCTGCCTTTCCTAGTTTCCTGGTTTTCCAGGATTTAGGGCTTTAGTGACAAGGTCTGTGTGCCTCTTTTTTCCAAGAAGGAGGTTCCTCGGGAATGGCTGCCAACTGGAATCATATTCTCACCTTCTGTGGGAAGAAGTGGCAGTGCCCACAGGGCACCTTGTCCCAGAATTCCTGGCTCTGGAATCACTGCCCTGATGGGATGGGGGACATTTTCCCATGGTTCACGCCAGGTGGGAGCTGATTTCCAGTCTCTGGGAATTCCGGCCGCTCTGGAGCTGTGGGGATGATGGAAGCGAGCGGCCGAGCGCATGGCTCCACGCCAGCTCCAGAGCTGCTTTCAAGGCTTCTTGGCTGCTGGTTCCTGTCCTCGGCTGCTGCTGGAACGGAGGGAATTTCCTCCGGGAATACAGCTGGGGCCTTTCAGGAGCAGCAATATCTGTCTGACTTCTGACTGTTTTCCACTCAATAACCAATGGATTTAGGGAGCTAATAGCATTGGGTGGGTTTGAGGATTTGGGTTTTATTTCCTTTTTTTTTTTTTTCCAGGCAGCTTCCAGAGCTGACAACGTCCCCAGGCTCCCCCAGAACACTAGAGGCAGCTGGTAGGTTTGGAAACGCTGCTCCAGGCTGACGCTCCGGATGCTCCGGCTTGCGGATGCGCTTGGGCTCTCCTGGTGCCGAACACGCGCGGCCCGGAGGATCCCGCTATGCACGTGTATCCTGGAGGGTATTTTCCCAGCGACTTGCAGAAACGCGGAGCGCATTCCCGGCCAGGCGGCCGCGTAATCCCCGGCCGCAGCCCAGCCCGAGGAAGCCTAAGCCCTGGCGCGCTCGGAGCGCTCCGGCGGCATTCCCGGTGCTTACGGCTAAGCCAGGGCCGGATGAGCCGCCGGCGAGTGGAGCTAAGCCCAGGGCCAGCTCCTTTTTCCCCAGCTCCTCAGCCAGATCACTACAAGTCTTGGCTTTGATTTCACTGGAGCTTCCCGGCGCTTCCCGGCCTTTGGAGTGTGACTGGCCTCCATTTCCGCCTCCGCACTCCGTTAATTCCCTGCTGCTGCTTAATGCCATGCGGCGGGTCTTAACGAAACCGGCTTGATTGAGATAAAAAAGGGCGAAAAAACGCAACCCTTGGTGCTAATTATTCGGAATTGGATTTGGAACTTGCCGTTAATGACAGATTGGCGTTAACGATTTGAGGGTATTTAAAGGACCTTTTTCTATCTTTATCTCTAAGTGGAGCTCATTAGGCGATTTTTAATTAGCAAATTTTCCTGACAGCTTTGGGGAGCATGGAGATTTTTGCGGTTTCAGATGGGGTGGGATCAGCACATGGGATATTCTCCATGGAGCCTGGGAAATCCAGGTGCAACGGCTGCTTCCTGCTCCAGCCGTGCTTTAGCTCTTGTTTCTCTGCCCTCAGGTAACCCAAGGTGCTGCAAACCCAGAGCATTGGCGCTCGAAATGCTGCGGAAAAGCTGGAGACGACAGCATGGAAATTGTCCTTGGAAATTGTCCTTGGAATTATCCCTGGTCAAGTGACAGAGCCGAGCCAGGAGCAGGGGATGTGGAAACCATTTGGACTCTGTTTCAGGCTCTTTTTTGGAGGGAAAAATGAGGAAAAATAATTGAGGGATGAAGCAAGCACAGAGAAAACGTTAAACAGAGCTGCTGCGAACGCTCCAGGAGTTTCGTTTGGGATTGGGAGGGAAAAGAGGAAAATTGGGTTGTTCTCGCTGCACCCTTGCAAATGCCCCAGGCTGCTCTCGGGACACTGAATCCGTCCCCTTTTCCTGCCTTTTCCCCCTGTGTGTCCTTCCTCAGGAGGGTTTTTTTTCTGTACCAAAGGCTGTGATTTCTTTAACCTCAAGACGTGCGGGGAAGCCGGAGCGGGGCCGGAGGGGACAAACCGCTGCCTCCACTAGCAAAGTGCCAAGCGGTTCTGTGTCGAGCCAGCTTTTATTTTATTTTTATTTTTATTTTCATTTTTATTTTTGAAAACATGGGTCATTGGCTTGCATGCTGAGCTTTCCAGAAGCTCTTGATTCGGGCTGGGGTCCCAAAACAGTGTTAGTGAGGGGCAGACGTTGCTACCTGACCACCTGCTGGTCAGTGCAGAAGTAAATCACTTTTTTTCCCCTTTTCCCAGATATTTCTCCCTTTCTCTTTCTCCTATCCAAGCTTTTTTCACAGCATCTTCCCAGGCCCAAGGCGAATGGATATAACTTGGGCTGGGAGTGGGCACGATGCTCCGATGGGGCTGTGGCATTCCTTTGGTGTGTCCACCTCCCCCAACACGGATCGCTTTTAACGCCAGAATATGCCCGATTTTGTCTGATCGTGTGAAATTTCTCTCTCTCTCTTTTTTTTTTTAACCTAATGCTGAATTTATTTTTTTAATGGTTTTCGTGAGACCTTACGGATGCTATTTCATAAGCCACGTTCAATAAAACGTCGAAACTATCCCTGTTTCCATCATCCCGACGGAGCTGGGGCTCGGGGGTGGGATGGGAGTCGCGAGGAGCCGCGAGCGGCTCCCGCATGGGGGAATTCGGGAGCCGCCGGGATGCTCAGCCGCTTGTTTAACAAATCGCCCTGTGTGACCCCTTGGCCGGCGCGGGGCTCCCCACGCACGCGTCCTCTGCCCCGGCTCTGCTGACTTCTCGTTGCTTTGATTTCTGCTTTTCTCAGTGCTTTCGAGTTCCTCCAAGTGGCGTCCGACAGTCCCCATTTGTGCAAT